TGATGATGAATGTTGGAGTAACCTAACTATTGAGCTTTCTCTAATAAATAAATATGGGCTGGTTGTATCTGTGGGTCCTAAAAGTAGGGGGTAGTAGGGTTGATTGTTATTAATTAGGCCTAGAATTAGGGGTGGCCACAAGTCGATCTGATCATGAGCTTTCAAGTTCGATTCATGAAAAGCTCAACTTAATTTGGTCTAAATCGAGTTTCGAGTCAAACTTGAGCCTAATATATAGGCTCGTGTGCTAATCAAGTCAAGTTTGGCTTGTAAGGTTCATGAGCCTAATCAACTATACATGTACATAGGGTGTCACATCGACTCGACACCTTGATTATTGAGGGAGACTTCGACTCGTCACCTCGAATTGAAGCTTCGATTTAGCACTTCAGTAGTTGAGGGAGACATCTTCTTGGCACCTTGACAACTGAGGGAGGCCTCGGCTGCTAGGGAGACCTTGGCTCGACACTTTAGTAGCTAAGAGAGATATACAATTAGAGGTAGCCCAACTTGAACTTCAGAGCTTTTGACTTGATTTGAGCTCAAACATGATAGTTTATGAGTGAGCCAAGCTCGATTAGCCAAATATTCGATTTGTTTCAGCTCAAATCCACCCCTATTTGAAATACCCAACTCATTTACGTTATAAATTTTTAGCCTTAAGGTTTTTCTATCAAGCCCAGCCTGGTGAGTAAACTTCTTAGTCCGGGCTTACATGAAGCACCTTATTTTAGACTCAGGCCTAGCCTAAGCCCATCTCAACCCAGGCATGATCACGGATAGCCCCTAGAATTCTCAATCTTGATTGGTAGTTAACCATTTGTTATGGTGCATGGCTGGGTTATGATATATAAATAGAAATAAGGCATATTAAAGAATACAGTAAACTGCTTGTTAGACCATGTATTCCCTTAGCTCCAATCAGATTGATGTATTTATTGTAAATGAATAAAGTGCATAACTGATTCGTGTTATTTTGGTGTGTTTCTATGTAATACCCTTAAATTGAATACTTATGAAATTTGTGTTAGTTTAGAATCTTCACAGCCATTGGATAGATCTAGGGAGATTTATCCTACTAAGACTAACACTGATGTGTCGCCAAGTTGGTTGAGGTAACTTGTCTCAGCTGCTAAGGTAAGACCTAAGGTACATGCAATGTGGGTTCTTGAAACCCTGAACTGGACCAAATTCTAGAATTTCCATGGACCTTGGAGATAGATGGGCAAAACTGGAATGTTACACTTGACCCCTAGACTCGATTATGGTACTGCACTAGGTGTTGTATTGGACTGTCTTTGATATGCCAATACGTGAGATCCTTAGAGGGGGTCAAAACTTGGGTATGTTAGGACAGTTCAAAAATTCACCTGAGTGAGTGATCATAATGACAGGATCAACCCCTTTGTTGAACAAAGTGAATGATTGGGGAATGCATTCTCTCTGATGGAAACCTAAACTGCCGGCAGTTGATTTCAAACTTGTTGAAATTTGTTTTGCAAAATATATTTATATAGAGATATACTTATATATTATGGTTTCACTAATTGTTTGCAAAAGGTTTTAATTTTCAGGATCCATGTGAGAAGAGAGTGCAACACTGTACCTTGCAGCCGAGGGAGATGTCCTCTCTTGTTGGGCAGTGTTTGATCATTATAGGTTGAGAGGTTAAGTATAAGACCATTGAGGGTAATACCTGATGGGCTAATCTTACATCTGCCCACAGTCTTTGGGCCTTCATAAGGTGGCTGGACCCAAGGACCATTTAGTGTAAATGTTTGGCCCATTTAGAGCCCATGCTGAGGGACTCAGGGGTTCACTATGTTCAGTAGTGAATTCGGCCAGACCTTGTAACAGAGGTTAGGCTGAACCCATGTGGCTGATGTGTAGATCAATGCTAGGGTCCCACGCCATACAAAGAGAGCCAAGCTATCCAACATATAAAAGGGAAAGTGAGCTACATGACTTGATGAGCCTAAAGTCCATCTCGAAATGGGCTTAAGTGCTTTAATTAAATGGGGCGAATTTGACTTATAACCTGATCAAGATTAGATAAAGGATAAGGTAATTCTTATCCATTTAAGAGTCTAGATCCAAATATCAGATTTAGATAAAGAAACTCTCTCCTAATTGGGTTAGGAGGCTGATCCAAATGAGGCTATAAATAGGGGGCGAATTCATTAGTTTTACACACTCAGAAATCTACAGAATTCTTCCCCAATTCTTTCCGCCCCTACCCAATTCGATCTCCATTCTTGGATCTGATCAAGAATAATTCTTGATATTGTTTATTGCTAGAAGAAACAATTTAAAGTCATGCTCATCAACCCCTTGCCTGATTCTTGTTGAAGAATTAGGATTCTTGCTGAAGAACCATCCTACTAATCCTATCTCACCATAAGATGTGTCATCTTCAGTGGGGGCGGGTTTTGGTCAACTCTTTGGGCGTGAATACCTACGTTGAGAGTTATTATTATTCTGTATCAGGTATTTCCCTACTTGCTTAATTTTGGTTTCAAATCTAGTCCGGTTTGTTTCAAGAATGAACCTTGAAAAATGCAATTTTTCTAAATCAGGGAATATGATTCTCGGAAGGGAGAAAGAAAATTTTTGAAATTTCACCCAACCTCCCTGCTAGGTTCGGCCATCCATATGATGGATCTCCCTTCCCTTCACCACTGACCCAAATGGTTGAACTGTTTGAACCGTTTAATGGTTTTGACCATTTTATTTTTTATTTTTTGTTAGAACAGGCCGACCATTTGATTCAAATGGTCGAATTATTCGACCTGAGAACCGGATCCTTGGCCGATTCATTGTCTGGGTTAGTTTTAAAAGCCTTGAAACTAATAATAACACTTCACACCAGTCATAAAATATATAGGTCCAACAACCATTCAACCTCTTAGTATGGGCCTGTGTATTTATCATTAGCGTAGGGTGTTATTGTTGGTTCCACAACCTATTACACAGTTAAAGCGTTTAGTTAATCCAATTCAATATCAAGGAAGACACCCAAACTTATACCTCTTAAAGGCATCATTCACCAATATTGGTAAGTAGGTAAGTAGAAGATTAGTCCCAATAATTGATTAACAAAAATTGGAAATGTGCCAAGGTAATGAATAATTCCTTTTTTGGATGAATAAGCAATGAACAACTCTAAACTTGAAATGCTGATAGAAAACGAAATTACAAATAAAATTTGAATATTCTAACTCAACTTGTTTCTTTTTTTTTCATTTTTAAAAGCAATTATTATTTTTTTCATAAAGAGAAAAATAATTTAACATAAAAAATGAAATGGCAAAACATGATTCACGTAACAAAACATCTCTGGTGCCAATTGTATCTACCAATGATCCAACGGTTGAGAATGTCGCTTGGCATCAGTTGGAAATAGGAGGTGAAGGATCAAATTTATGGAACTGCAGGCTCATTGTGCTGGGCAAGGCTCCCACCATGGTGGGATTAAAGTGCCCGACCACCTTTTTGATTTTCAGTTCTTAACCCTAAAATCTAAATCCTACCCCATATTACTAAACCATAAAGTAGTGTGTAAAATGGCCTTGCTTAGAACACATGCTCTCCAACGAGGTAGGAGGCAAGTATTTTCCTGTGGTTGGTTGGCCTCAAATGCATCCTGCTTTGCCCCCACCCCTGATTCCCATGTAATGTATACTACGCAATACCAAAAAAAAAAAAAAAAAGAAAAGAAAAAGAAAAAATACCAGATGAATTCAAGACCTGAGAAAGGAAGAGATCATAAGGCCATTTAAATATTAGCAGAAAGAAATCCAATTAATCGGAGATGAAATAGCAAAGATTTGTGCACCATTTTGTAAGTATCAAAACATGTAAACCTTTATATTTATAACAAGTTCACAACATTTTGCTCAGTTTGGAAGAAGTGCAGATATAAATATACAGTACAAGTACATACAAAATATAAGGTTTTGTACTTTATATATCTGTCTCCAAACTGAGCCTAAAGAGAGATTGAACTTATCTTATAAATAAATATTGGTTGGCTGTACGACAGGGTCATCATCTATTGGCTCCAAAAGGGTCCTACGTTTTACTCTGGCTGCCCTGTTTCCACCTCTTTTGACCCATAATCCGCAATGCAAGAAAATTTGTTTGCACAAGTGGTCTTTGAAACATTTGGATGTTAAAATCATTACTGTTTTTTGTTTGTGAAAGGATGTTACAAATATATTCTAAATTTGGAGGAAAAAAAGATCAACTTAGGCCAAGCATTTTCTTAGTCCACAGGATTTGGGACAGAGAAAAGTGTGGTTGCACTTGCACCACAATCAACAAATAGCTTATTGTTCTGCAGGTTTAACCCTACATCCCACCATGTGAGTGATGTCCAATGATAGTCTCTACTACGACACTTTTGGCTGCGTTTGGAAATGATCCAAATGGAGTGTAAATCCTGGTTCAGGGTAAATTTGCACTCTGGTTCACATTTGCCTGTGTTTGGCAATATTACATTTATGAATTGACAAATGACAGACCAATGCATATTTACATTGATAATAAGATGTAAAAGTACATCAATAAAAAAGAAGTAAATTTGTCACTACAAGAAAAATGAGTTTTAGCGGCAGCTTTGACTGCCGCTAGAGACTTTACCAGCAGCCACCAAACTGCCGCTAAAAGAACTGTTGCTAGATGTTTTAGCGGCAATTTTCAGAGCTGCCGGTACAAATATACACCTGTCGCTAAAAATACTTTTAGTGGAAGTCGCGACTGCCGCTAATACTGACATGACTGCCGCTATAAGTCCATGCATGTTTTTTTGTAGCTGCAGTGACTGCCACTAAAACCATACATTTTTTTCATATACCTTTTATTAATTTTTCCTAATTTGTTTCAAATAACCTGTTTTCTCTATATTCATTTAAATTGAAATGAAATACAAAAATAAAAAAAAATCAATTACAAATGAAATTTAAAAAACCATTCTCCATTCAAACCATTTGAATCACAAATACATATTAATTTCAATTTGATAAACTCTTGATTTGTACAAGAAATGTTCTCTTCACAATGGCATTTTGAAAGTTTTTTAAATCAAGCCTCATCCTGCCTGCTTGTTCCCTCCACAAATACATCTTTGTTATTTGAATTAACCCTTTTTCCCCTTGATCCTTTTGTTTCAAATTCATCTCTAAATTTCAGAAGATCGTCCACAACTGAAGGTTGTCCCTCAATGTTCACATTGCAATATTTAAGCTCTTCTTTCTCATGGAGAGATCCTGATTTAGCCATATTTTCTAAAGGTGTCCTGTTGAGATCAGGTTTGCATTTTCCAATGAGATCACCAAAATGACTGGAATTCAATGACCCTGAAAGTGAAATGGAACCACATGAACCAAATAAACTTGCAGCAACATTTGAGAAAAACCACAGGTTTTCATTTTAACAAGTTCATGCATATGGGTGCATAGACACAAGACATGCCATATGGTTCAAAATGGAAGGAATTAATTCTTACTCTTTCTCTCTCTCTGGACATGCCATATCAAGGGTATTTTAATTTTTTTGCTTTCCACATTCAATACTTAATGATTTTTTTATTCATTTGCTTTTCTAATATTTTAAAAGACATCTGCTTGATTTGAATTTTTATATCCTTCACTGGTACGCCAAACTTAGTGGTGGTAATATTTAATCTTGACATGGTTTCTATGCAGTTAGCTTGTACTGATAATCTGATATTAAGATTCATGTTCTTACTTGAAACTAAATTGTTTAATCGGTGATATTTGTCAATGCTGAAGTTATGAATCCAATGCAGAAATTGAAGACTCGTGTAATGAAAAAGAATATCAATCCTGAGTGGAATGAAGATTTAACCCTTTCTGTGGCAGATCCTGAGATTCCAATCAAGCTTGTAAGTATTTATTTTTTTGATTGGTAGATCATAATTACTTTTCCCTGTTTCTGGATTCTTGTCTTCTCCCATATGGGAGGAAACATATAAGGGCATAAAATACAACAACAATTCTATCTATACCAAGTAGAAGTTGAGCTAATTTGTACATGATGATAGTCACTTATGGACATACATTATATAATTTATTTATTTGTGGTATAAACATCAAATTATTAAATGTAACCTAAGGTTGATGTCCTTTTGGTGTAAATGCATATAGAAAAAATAATAAAGAACCGATGCTGATATATTAGAGGTCAAGGTTTTGAATATATAGTTATATAGAACTGCAGGTGTCCGCAATCTTCCACGAACAGAAAAGCTATGAAACTAAAACTTTCTATTAAACTTATTCAGTGCCTGTAACACCTGGATACCTGTACCAAGGTGCTATATCATGTTGAACACTTCAATTTAATGTAAATTTCATATCCAACAATGCATCTAACCATCTTCTTGCAGTATCTGTGTAACACAGTGCAGTCCTTATAATGTAGATAGTTGTTTATCTGTGTAGTCTATTATATATAATCTGTACAAAAAGTCAAAAACAGGATATCACCTCTCCTTTGCTTTATTGTGGGTCAAGAGCAGTTTTCTGTTTTACTTTAGATGATTTTGGCTCCTGATGGGTTGTTTTTCATGCCATTGGGATTCTCTTAACTTTACACATGAAGGAATGCTATTTCAAGAGAAATTTTAATGCAGAATTTCATTCTTATTGGAAATGTCAAGAGATATTTTCGGTGCTGACTGCTAAAAGACAGTTTTATTTGCATCCAGAAAATCCTGCACAAATTTTGCTAGTCATCATAACAGTCATCATCTTTTGTTGTTGCAGACAGTGTATGATAAGGACAAATTCAGCCTTAGATATGACCAAATGGGAGATGCAGATATTGACATTAAACCATTTCTAGAAGCTGTAAAGATACATTTGGTGAATCTCCCAAGTGGTACCATGATACAGAGTGTACAACCTAATAGGCAAAACTGCCTTGCTGAAGAAAGCTGTTTCATATGGAAAGATGGCAAGGTTGTCCAGGATATGTATCTGAGACTGAAAAATGTGGAAAGTGGTGAAGTGGAACTTCAGCTGCAGTGGATTGATATCCCTGGTTCCAGAGGTATATAGAAGTCATGCATGATTGGCTTCTTCTGGGCTTCTGTAGCATATATGCGGTTGCCACTTCATTATCATCATCAACAAAGTTGCTTACATTTGTTTGTTTTTTCATAGCTTATTATGTAGAATGAAACTGTTTCCTTGGGTTGCATCTTTATAATAATTACTACTTTGATGTGTAATTCTTATTCCTTGTTTGCAGTTTTCATGATTTGAGCTTGCAGATTAGACATTCTGTTTCTTCTGGACTGTCTGCAGATCATAACTTTCATATGGCCTTCTAATATTTTCTTATTTTACCATTCTAATAGAAATAATCCATAATTTGCTGAGATTTATTACCTAAACAAAGTTATTTCAGATTCCACCCTCTTCTAGATATTTTAAAACTCTAGCAAAAGGTATTTCAGTCAGATCATGGGGTGGGAGGGCATTTGCAATTCCAAGATCCCATAACCAAAATACCTCTGTCAAATATGCCTCCGATTGGTTTGATAAGTTGGTAAGGAGATTCCCAGTAAGGCTTTACAACAGGTTCTAGACATCAACAATGACTAGAGCCACCCTTTTCACTTCTATTCATTGCATATGGTCCTGATATACCAAAAAGGCAGCTTAGGTGGCTATTGAAAGATTTCCTATTAGTCATTGGGTAATGGCCTCTTACCTCTGCCACGTGCTGAAGATGCTCATGTATAAGGATCTAAATACACGATGAAAAATCAAAACCAGAGAAACATGCAGAGAAGACTAAGGTATATGTGATTCGGAAATATGTGCCTATTTCCATGAATGAAACGCCCACAAAATCCCATTATATTCTTAACTGGTATGAGCATGATAATCCAAGGTTTCTTCCACATGCTAGTCCCTGGCGAGTAGTAATGTTTTCCTCTTGAAACCCTAATTGATAATACCCAAAATACCCATGCATGGAAAGTGTGTATGAACAGATTTCACCTGCATGGCTTGGAACCAACCTTACAGCACGTTGCAGCCGTGCATTGAGAATATTTCCAAGTACAAGAGATGTTTCTAATATGCAGCTGCAAGTGCTGTAAGGAGTAAATCCAGATTCAAGTTATGCACATTGTATTGCAAGTTCAAGTTAATGAGAAGATCCTATCTCTTCATACAATGGATGATTATTTTGCAATCAAAATCATTTGTTGGTTCAGAAGGATGGTGTTGATCTAGGGATGTCAATGGGTAGGGCAGACCTGACAGACCCAAACTTAACCAACCTAATTATATAGGGTTTGGGGCTGCATTATGTTCTCGTATATAATTGGATCGGTATAAGTTTTGATTATTCCAAACCAATAAAGATCTGAGCTGACTATATATATAATTATATTCCTAGTTGTGCATTTTCCACTCTACAAGCATTCAAGACCATTGAATATGTGCAAAACCCCATCATGGTCAGATTCAAAATGAATCAAGATATACAAAGCGTTTAACCCAATCTAATTAGACCTAACACACTTATATCATAATATTTACCATTCCAAAGCATGGAGAAACTAACAACATTACCTCCTTGCTGTATGTACTCTACTGACACTATCTTCAGTAGATGGTAGATTATGTAGAAGTATTGTAACATCAACATCTTTGAGAATGTCCAACACCTCATAGGGTTCATCCCCACGGACAGAAATGGCCAAACGTGTTCCTGAGAAATAAGAGTTTAAAATGAAACAAGCAATGATAGGAATTGCAGAATTAAAATGTGAATAATTCAATTAACAAGGTTCTGAAAAAATCCAAATTGGCACCTTCTGGCAAAAGCTTGTAAGTCCCAGTTGATAGTTCCTTGAAATTTACTAGGACCATGGCATTAGGAAATGACTTTGTTAGTTGCTCTAAAAGAGGGGTTAAAACCCCCATACTCACATCTATCAGCCTTTTCAAAGCTAGCCCACTGATCATTAAGCAAAAGAGAATTTCAAATCACCCTTCTATCTTAGATGAACTTAAAATATATTTCTTGCAGCATGAATGATGAAACTAATTAAGAATTATTAGGATTCGGCCTGCCCTTGAATCCTGTTAGACTGATAACAGTCAAAGTAAAAGAAAAAGAGAAAGAGAGAAAAGAAGAGAAGAGAAGGAAGGGAGAGAAAGATCTGGTTCGAACAAGAGAAAAAAAGTCACTTTCCCATTCGGCCAGATTTGTTATTATATTACTAATACTCTGGAAATGAAACATATGCCCCTACTTACGTAAGGGACATAAGATCTAACATAACCTTACACATCAGCAACTTAAACATAAGCATAAAGACAAAAATACCCCTACATAGTTGGCATTAACACTCCCCTCAAGCTGGAGAGTATATATCATATAATCCCAGCTTGTTACATATGTAGTCCACTCTTCCCCGACTCAACCCTTTAGTAAACAAGTCTGCCCACTGGTTTCCTGTGTTAACATATGCAGCATCTATCACTCCACTCAGCACCTTCTCTCTTACAAAGTGACAACCAACCTCTATGTGTTTGGTTCTCTCATGAAACACCGGATTAGAGGAAATATGGACTGCAGCCTGATTGTCACAGTATAGCTTCGTTGGAGTGTCAATAGTGTATCCCATCTCCTGTAGAAGGTTCCTTAGCCACACTAATTCACAAGTAGTATGTGCCATAGCTCTTTATTCTGCCTCTGCATTGCTTCTTGCCACAACTGTCTGCTTCTTACTTTTCCATGTCACCAGATTACCCCCAAGAAAGGTGCAATAGCCTGTAGTTTCTTTCCTATCAGATATAGAACCGGCCCAATTAGCATCAATATATCCTTCTATTTCAAGTTTTCCACCACTTCTGTATATCAAACCATGACTAGGAGCCCCCTTTAAATTCCTCACAATCCTTAGAATTGCATCCCAATGTGGAACTAGAGGTTTGTACATGAATTGACTTACCACACTAACCGCAAATGAAATGTCTGGCCGAGTAATGGTTAGGTAGTTCAGTTTACCTACAAGCTGCTGGTATCTGCCAGGGTCTTCAAACACTTCACCCATATCACTGCTCAACTTAGTTTTTGTTTCTATAGGTGTTTCAGCTGGTTTAGCACCTAACAAACCTATTTCTTCCAACAAGTCAAGGAAATATTTCCTTTGACACAAGTTAATACCATGCTTAGACCTTGCTACTTCTATCCCCAAGAAATACTTTAGTTGACCAAGGTACTTTATCTGAAAATGTTCCTGTAGAAAAGTTTTCAACCTATCAATTCCCACTTTATCATTTCCGGTAATAACAATATCATTTACATACACCACCAATAGGATCTTTCCTGCCTGAGAGTCATGACCGAAAACTGAATGGTCAACTTGGCACTGTTTCATACCAAACTTCTTTACCACCTCACTGAACCTACCAAACTATGCTTGAGGAGACTGTTTAAGCCCATAAATGGCCTTCTTTAGTTGGCACACCTTACCATCCTCCCCCTGAGCAACAAACCCCAGTGGTTGCTCCATATAGACCTCCTCGAGTAGATCACCGTGCAAGAAAGCATTCTTGATATCAAGCTGATAGAGGGGCCAATCGTACATAGCAGCAAGAGAGATCACAACATGGACTGAACCAATCTTAGCAACCGGGGAGAAGGTCTCTGTGTAGTCAATACCATAGGTTTGGGAATACCCTTTGGCAACTAGTCTAGCTTTCAGCCGCTCTACACTACCATTAGGTAAGTACTTAACAATATAAACCCACTTACAACCGATAGCCTGCTTACCAAGAGGAAGAGTGGTGAGGTCCCATGTATGAATATGAGTTAGAGCTGAGAGTTCTTCTTCCATTGCACGACGCCATCCTGGAGAGGCAAGGGCTTCCTGGACATCCTTAGGGACAACAAAAGAGGATAACGAGGAGATAAGTTGGCAATGGGAAGCAGAAAGGTGAGTGTGAGAAATATAACTAGAAATAGGATGAAGAGTACAACTACGTTTACCTTTCTGCAAGGCAATGGGAAAATCAAGATCAGATACTGGGGTTGGGGCTGGTGTGGGGATAACTACCGAATTTGTTGACAATGATGGAGCTGGAGGAGGAGTTGGTGCATGTTGGCGATGTGTATACACTTGACGGATAGGTAGCCGTTCAATAGGTGTTGGCACCGGAGGCAAGGACTTGGTCACAGCTGGAACAAGAGGAACAGAATTCGCAACTGGAAGAGGAAGGGGAGGAGGTAATGAGGAAGAAGAAGCATCACTGAATCCCAAGAAAAATGGAGTATAATCAAAGAAAGTAATATCAACATACACAAAGGAATGCCAAGAGCTAGGATGATACCACTTATATCCTTTCTGAGTTCGGGAATAGCCAAGGAAGATGCACTTAATGGATTGTGCATTTCCTAGCCCCAGATTATGAACAAAGCAGACACACCCAAAAACCCAAGGAGAAAGAGGAAATGGAGACAAGGTAGGAAACAAAGTGGTGAATGGAGAATGACCATTAAGAATAGGTGTGGGCATCCGATTAATCAAAAAATAAGAGGTAAGCACTACATCACTCCAAAAAGTTTTGGGAACATTCAGGTGGTGCATGAGGGATTGAGCTGTTTCCAAAAGATGACGATTCTTTCTCTTAGCCACCTCATTTTGTTGTGGGGTGTAGGTACATGAAGTTTGATGGATAATGCCATGTTGATCCAAGTATTCTTGAAATGGTATAGAGAAATATTCACGGCCATTATCGGAATGAAAAATTTTAATGTGGACACCAAATTGGTTACGGATCTCAGCATAAAATTTTTGGAAAATGGCAAACAATTCACTCATTTCTTTCATTAAATAAAGCCACGTCATCCTTGAATAATCATCAACAAAAATGACAATATTTATATCCATTGTATGACATTATTTTATAAGGACCCTAAACATCTGAATGAAGGAACCAAAGACTTCAAAACTGACACGACTATGTTTCCCCAACTGACACGACTCACAATCCAAAACAGAAAGATGACTCAACGAAGGAACCAAAGACTTCAAAACTTTTAGAGAAGGATGACCAAATCGACAGTGCCACTAGAGAGGAGAGAGAGACGACTGGAGAGCTGTTGATGTACTTCCACCACCGTCAAGATAATACAACCTATCAGCTTCATGCCCTCCACCAATCTTCATCCCCGTCTTGAGATCCTAAAAAACACATGGAGAAGGGTAAAAAGTAATAGAGCAATTAAGAGATTTGGTCAACTTACTAACTGACATAAGGTTAAACGGAAATTTAGGGGCATACAAAACTGATGATAAGGGTAAGGAGTCCATGTTAACATTACCAACACCACAAATGGAGGATGTGGAACCATTAGAAAGGGTAACAGATTGTGATGTTGGGCAATGAGAGAGGGAAGAAAACACACTTGGAGTTCTAGTCATGTGATCAGAGGCTCTAGAGTCAACAATCCAGGGATTGGGTGTGGATGCCAGACAAGCCATACCTGAGTGTGCGAGAGTGGTTGTGTTTTGCTGAGATGTGGCCTGGACAAACCTCTCATAATCATCACGGGGAACATTCATCATCTCCTTCCCAGGAACATATGTGGATGTAGGAAGCATCTGATCAGCTAAACGACTCTCCTGTCTGAAGCTACTGTCACTAGTCATGGCATGATTGGCCCAAGATGAAGGTGGACCATGCAAATCATAGCAATAATTAATGGTATGTCCATCCATACCACAGTGTGTACACCTGCTCGGACCCGAACTACGTCCTCTTCCACGGGCTCCCCCTGAATCTCGACCTCCAGTATGACCACTACCATGGTTATATGTAGGTCCACCACCACCACTCCGGCCATATACCGGTCCACTACTACCACTACGGCCAGACTAAGCTCCCCGAGCTCCACCTCTAACACTATGGCCCCTTGATACTACAAAGGCTGATCTGTCAGAAACACTAGGGTTCTCGGTAGATCCAATAGAAATCCTCCTAAGTCGAGCAAACACCTCTTTTAAGGAAGGGAGAGTTGATCCTCCTAGTATCTGAGCCCGCACTGGTTCATATTTAGACTTCAGCCCCACCAAAAAATGAGTCACATCTAGTTGTTCTCTTTGCTGCTACTGAATTTTGACATCAGAAATGAGGGGGTGATAAACATTCAACTCATTACGAATGTTTCTCATACTAGCATAGTACTCCTGAAGACTCTGATTACCCAGTTGCAGATTAAAGTATTCTTGATACAACTGATATACCCTAGTTGTGTTGTCTTGACCCGAGTACAACTTCTTAGCATGGTCCCACACTTCCTTGGCAGTATCAAGGAACACGAAATTTACACTAATCTTGGGTTCCATACTATTCCATAACCATGTGATAATCTGTGCATCTTCTTGTTCGTAGTCATCATACTCATGAGAATCTGTGGAGGGTTTTTCTTCCCTTATGTGTTTCACGAGTTCGGCTTCAGCCAGTGCAAGCCCTGTTCGAATAGGCTTTACAGGCTTGCATTGGGAATATCTTGTTACTTATGTGCTTTATTTCATGGGGAGATATTCCCAATGCAAGGTGGCAAGAGGCTGCTCGAATGGTGTGAGCATGGACTTGCACTGGCTGAAGCCGAACTTGTGTTTCACCTTCTTCTTTGCCTTAAGAAAGACTTCTATAGATTTAGCCCAAGGTACGTAATTTTCTCCATTAAGTTTAATAGAGGTCATTTAAACATTCAGGTAGTCAGTAGGGACCATGACACTAGTCTTTCTGTCACTACTGTCTCCCATTGTTGAATTCGGCACACTGCACACTAAACCACACTACACACTGAAAACATTGTTTTCAACACTTATTATTGCTGAAAACTACACTCTTTACACCACAACCCTACTCCATGATTACCTGAAAACTCACCACATTGTTTGATGATCACTCCCCCTTCGAATCACACTGAAATTTGCATAAACCCTAAAACACTACAATCTGAAATCCCACCATACATTCTAAAACAGACTTATCATTTGATTCACAACAAGAAATTGCATAGAAACCTATTACCTAATCACCTGAAAATCAGACCACACAAGACACCCACTACAACACATGAGTCAGCCCTCTTCTCTTCATTGATTAGGGGAGGGCTTCTTACAAACCACAGCAACCAACCACAAACAGCACAACTAGAGGCATAGAAACCTCGAAGGGAAGAGGGCGATCACTCCTTTTCAGCCCTTTCCCTTAACTCCAACTGATGGCGAAGAAAGCAAGAGAAAACCCTATGCTGTGTGCGCAAGTTACAGAATTCTGGGCAGATCCGATTTGCTCAGTTTAGCTCTGGTACCATATTAGGATTCAGCCTGCCCTTGAGTCCTATTAGATTGACAACAGTCAAAGTAAAAGAAAAAGAGAAAGAGAGAAAAGAAGAAGAAGAGAAGAGAAGGAAGGGAGAGAAATATCTGGTTCGAACAAGAGAGAAAAAGTCACTCTCCCATTCGGCCAGATTTGTTTTTATATTACTAACTCTGGAAATGACACATGTGCCCCTACTTAAGTGAGGGACATAAGATCTAACATAACCTTACACATCAGCAACTTAAACATAAGCATAAAGACAAAAATACCCCTACATAGTCAGCATTAATAAGAATATACTATTGAACCCCTTTTAGTGATTCAAGATCAACCCAGAATTATACGCTAGAAAAGATAAAGCTATATTAAGAGAATGGGACACAAGTGAGCCTCAAAAGAAGCAAAATTAGAAGGTATTTACAGCATCATAGTCATCTACTGGAGGAAGCTCCCTCAAAAGGATTGTGTCAACTATTGCCAAATCCTCTCACCCATGGTAGAATTCACTAATAAGATATAATGAAAATGAAAAAGAACCTCGATGAATTAGAATGACAAGCAAAGACAAGTACAGATAAGAAGAAGAACCTTAAATGGCATGCCAACAACAAGCTTTGCTTCAAGTGATTTGTACAAGAGTTCAGGGTTCTGATAAAAGAACTATGTCAGGCAAGGATCATAATAAAATATAAAGAGGGAATGAAATAATAAAGTAGATAGAAAACCTACATTATGTACATAAATTTTGGAGGACCATAAATGTGCTTATTATTATCAGGGCAAGTTACAACAAGACTGCAGAGATCTACTTCTGAGTGATGTAAGAAAGATGTCCTTGGCAATAGAAATGCTTACCGAGAAAATAAAACTTATAAGGGAAAGAGTGATACAGTACTATGGGTCTATAAGTTTGCAAATTGGATGGCAGATGGGTTGGCATGTGGCAAAACAAGGGATAGAGAGAATTTATTTTGGGGGATGGGTGTTCCCATATTAATGTATTTCTTCTGAGATAGGTCATCTCAACCTCTAGGATGTCTGATCTATTGCATATTTGCTTGTTTTATTAATAAAACTTGTTATGTTACTCACTAAAAAATAATATTAAATACTATTCAGAAGGAAATAGAGTATGCATCTCAGATAAACATGAAATAGGGAAATCATAGCAAACCCAAACGATAAAAAATACCATTTCTTCTAAGAGAAGTCCTAATATGCATCTCAGATGAACAAACTCCACTCTTGGACTATAAAGGAAATTTTGAAGTTGGATCATAAATCACATCACCAATGCTCAATTATCATTTGAAGCTATTTACAATGCTTCAACAACTTTATCCTTTGCAGATCAACTAAACTATTTCCAGACAATTGTGAAGAGAGTAGAGTGGGTTAACTTAAAATGCTCCATATGCTGCAAAGCAATTCGTGCCAAACAATAACATAAAGACAACATTATCAAAAACTACTTCTAATAAAAAAAGACCAAAATGCTAAGTCAAGGGAAAATTGCACTTGATGACTCAATTTCAACAAAAACCATTACTGGAAGTAACTTACAAAAGCACACCCACCTGTCCTAGGAGAAGCTCAGCCATTACACAACCAGCAGACCACATATCAATTGCTGTTGTGTATTCAGTAGCTCCAAATATCAGTTCTGGAGCCCTATAATATTGTGAACAAATGTATGCTATATTTGGTTCTCCAGGCACCTGCAATTAAGCAAATAAAAATTAAATCTTGGGATGGTAAAAAATTCCAATTCCAGGAAAATAAGGATTCACCAACATTTTTGCACTTCCAAAATCACAAATCTTTAGCAGATGAGTGTGAGGATTAACCTGCAACATGCATAAAATTTTCAACTTAAATTTCCCAAAGTCAAAAAACAGCACAGGTACCAAGTAATAGTTTTGATTATGTTACAAACACAGCAGACTGACATCACTATTTCAAAATGGTTTATAGTGCTCTCACAAACCTTTCATTTACATTCAACAAACAATAAGACCAAGAAAATGAACATCAACTATCAAGAAAATCCAATAGAACCAAGAAGGTACTAAAGTACTGAAGAGAACAATTACATCATCCATTACTTGTGTCCCATATTGTTAGCTTCAATCTCTTCCCACCAACTGTGAGCATTTTGATCTTGAAATCCACACCTGTACATGGTTTGAACAATACCAAATGTTCACCATATAAATAGACAGATAATAAAATTGTAAAGAAAAGTGTTGGTTGTTTAATAACCAATTTTAAAATAGAAAGTATAAACCAAAAAAAGGAGATAACAGAGAGCACATCTGTGCTTCTGTACCTTTTCCATGTTTTGAAAAAAAGCCAGATAATTTTATTAGAAAAATGAACAAGTACATGCAAACCTGTGCTTGTGTACTATCAACACTATAGTAACAAAAGAAAAAATATCAACTTCTTATCAGTAAGAAAAACACTAAAATTCACCTTTTGTTATTCATACAAAACACCTTTTGTTGATTATAGTGGAATTTCCTTGTTAGCTAGATGTTGCTTTGCCCTTCATTTAGTGTTAATGAGGAGTTCCCTTATCTCAACATGCCATTAAATTGTTACATGCTGTGAAGACCTTATTTAGTCCTAGGTTACAGTAGAGAAGAAGGAGAAGAAGAAGAAGAAGAGGAGAAGAAGGGTTTAGCCAGTAGAGGAAAAATCAGTTCTCTCTCTAGTCGACCCACTTGTATTTATCTCCAATAACATAGTTACAAGAAAGACCATATTGTCACTCATAAGTGATGGGACACATAACTTAAACTTAAATAAAACAGACCTTTCACTCTCAAATAGATAAACCCAAATGACCAAAATACCCCTGTTTTGTGTACTCTAACACTCCCCCTCAAGCTGGAGAGTATATGTTATATAGTCTTGGCTTGTCACAAATATAATCTACTCTACCCCGAGACAATCCCTTTGTGAAGAGATCTGCCCACTGATTTCCTGAGAGTATATATCATATAGTCCCAGCTTGTTACAAATGTAATCTATTCTTCCCCGAGACAATCCTTTTGTGAAGAGATCTGCCCACTGATTTCCTGAGATCACATGAGATGTGGTTATCACTCCACTTATCACTTTCTCTCTCACAAAGTGACAATCGACCTCAATATGCTTGGTTCTCTCATGGAAGATTGGGTTGGAAGAGATGTGAATAGCAGCTTGGTTATCACAGTATAGTCTCATGGGTTAGTCAACCGAGAACCCCATCTCTTGTAGCAAGTTCTTCAATCATACTAGTTCACATGTAGTATGAGCCATAGCTCTGTACTCAGCTTCTGCACTATCCTTGCTACCACTGTTTGTTTCTAGCTCTTCCAAGTTACAAGAATGCCACCAAGGAAGGTACAATACCCTATAGTTGATCTCCTGTCTGATATAGAACCAACCCAATCAACATCTATATACCCTACTATTTCAAGGGTCCCTCCACTTTGGACTAAAAGAGACTCTATGATGTTTCCCAAGCTGGCATGACTCACAATCCAAAGATGAAAGATGACTCAAGGAAGGAACCAGCAGCTTCAGAGCCTTGAGAGAAGGATGACCAAGTCTATAGTGCCATTGAAGAGGATTAAGAGACGACTGAAAAGCTACTGGAGGGCCACCACCATCAAGGTAATACAATCCACCTGCCTCATGCCCTCCACCAATCTTCATCCCCGTCTTGAGATCCTGAAAAACACAAGAGGAGGGATAAAAGGTTATGGAACAATTAAGTGACTTGGTTAATCTATTAACGAACATAAGGTTAAAGGGGAACTTGGGGACATATAAAACAGATGATAAAGACAAGGAAGAGAGATCAACATCACCAACACCACAGATGGGAGATGTAGAACCATTAGCAAGAGTAACTGTTTGTGATGTGGAGGACCGAGAAAGAGAAGAAAATACATTAGGAGTCCCAGACATATGGTCCGAGGCTCCGGAGTCAATGATCCAGTGTGAAGGCTTGGAAGCCAAGAAAGCCATACCTGAATGGGCAAGGGTAGCTGTGTTCTGCTGAGATGATGCCTGAAGGAACTTCTCATATATTGTATGGGGTACACTCACCATCTCCTTCCCAGAAACACCAGTAGATGTGGAGGGGATTGGGTCAATTTGCTGACTTTCAGTAGCTGTACCACTACCCTTAGTCACAGCATGGTTATCCCAAGTGTTGGGTGGACCATGTAAATCATAGCAAAAATTAACCGTGTGCTCCTTTAATCCATAGTATGTACACTTCCTAGGGGCATTACTTCTTCCTTTACCATTACCTCCCCCTGGGACCGCCATGGTTACCTGGAAGTCCACGACCACCACCACCACCTCTATTTCCACAGCCTCCCCCTCTAGTCACCACAAAACCAGATCTATCTAAGAGAGAAGAATGCACTATAGACTCAATAGATGTGCTCCTAAGACGGGCAAAAACTTCTTCAAGTGAGGGAAGAGAAGACCCCCCCCCCCCCAGTATTTGTGCTCGGACAGGCTCATATTCAGCCTTCAAACCCACCAGAAACCTTATCACATCAAGTTGCTCACGCCGTTGTTGCTGAATCTGAACATCCTGTGTCAAAGGATGATACACATTGAGCTCATTTCGGATATTCCTCAGACTTGCATAGTATTCCTCCAAGCTTTGACTGCCTTGCTTTAGATTAAAGTACTCTTGGTACAAYTGATACACCCTAGTTGTATTGTCTTGCCCGGAATACAGTTTCTTAACACGATCCCAGATTTCTTTAGCTGTATCTAGGAAAATAAAGTTCACGCTAATTTTTGGTTCCATGCTATTCCACAACCATGTCATTATTTGTGCATCTTCTTGTTCCCAGTCACTAAATCCTAGAGAATCAGAGGAGGGTTTCTCCTCTCTCACATGTTTTACTTTTTTCTTAGCTTTTAAAAACACCTCCACAAATTTTGCCCACGACACAATTCTCACAATTCAACTTAATTGATGTCGTTTGAACATTTAGGTAATCTGGAGAAATCATAATGCCTATTTTATTGTCATTCCCATCTCCAATCGATGCCATCTTAACTAATTCACCTTACCTCACAAAGAAATCACTGCTATAGGTAGATTATTCACCTTCAAATATTCAGCACAACCTCACGCACTTCCACAAAACTTATCTYACTTTCARCACYRCCAACTTCTTCAAATACACATTACACATCAAATACAAAAGCTGAAATCACTCAGTCATTAAATCAAAAACTTGTATTGCACACTGCATAACCACTCACACACCAAATACAAGGGCTGAAATCACTCGACCAATAAACCAAACACTTACACTGCACTCTGCAGAACCAACTTGTACTCAGCTGAACACTGTTCACCCGAACCTGCTCTCTTCATACCATCGAATAGAGAGCTTCCTACCAATCACCACAAACAGCCACTGCACCACAAACCGGAGGCATGAAGGCCTCCTACAGAGAAAAACGACCACTCCTTTTCAACCTTTCCCTTAATCTCCCAGTGGTTCTTGAGAAATATGCAAATCCCTAGAGAGGAGGGCGATAAAAAAAAGCTGGGTAAACCAGAATAAAAGAGCAAGACGAGCAGATCTGAACTTGTTACATGCGCTTTGATACCATGTGAAGACCTTATTTAGTCCTAGGTTACATTAGAGAAGAAGGAGAAGAAGAAGAAGAAGAAGAGGAGAAGAAGAAGAAGGGTTCGGCCAATAGAAGAAAAATCAGTCCTCTCTCTAGTCAACCCACTTGCATTTATCTCCAATAACTTAGTTACAAGAAAGACCATATTGTCCCTCATAAGTGATGGGACACATAACTTAAACTTAAACAAAACAGACCTTTCACTCTCAAATAGATAAACACAAATGACCAAAATACCCCTGTTTTGTGTACTCTAACACATGCTATCCATTGAAACAAGTTAAGGGCTGAGTAAGCAGGTTGTATCATGATCTTATCATTGATATATAACAGTTGTCCTAAGATAGAGTTCAAGCTCATTGCATTCTATATGCTACACAAGTAATGAAATAGTTTTCCAAGAGGTAACCCTGAGTGCTATGGTGCTTTTATCTTCACTGGTTAATTGGATAATAATCTCTACCAAATAGAAAACCAAACACAACATTTCCGAAGTCACATTATTTTTTCAATAAATAACTGAATTCAGCTCATTCAACTGAAGCAAAAACCAGCAAACTAAACAAAAAGGCAGCATTCCACAGAGTACAAATAACTTCCATCAACAGAAGCCTCAAGAGTAGTAAAGGGACACAAACACAATATATTCTAACAAAAATATCAAAGAACGACTTATAGATCAGTGGAAGTAATTGAAGCATAGTAAAAATTAAAATATACGACATCTCCTCTAGAACAGCTCAGATTGAAGCAAGCAAAGAATCAATAAGTTGATATTATCTAAACCAGCTTCTTTTGATAATGCAAAGCTGATGCAAGAAAAGCCCTCTGAGCAGAAAAAGACCTTCCATTTACTTCAAAGCCCAAGCTGATAAAAACAAATAGAAATTATCCCATTAAGGTTCCAACACACATAAACAGCTAAATAGAGAATGATAGCATAGAACAACACATTTCATAACACCAACATAGATAAGAAGGAGAAAATGTGTCACCAAACCCCTACATAAGCTGATATTCATCCTTAATAAATGATTGTGAAGTTAATAAGTTAGTATACCAGTATTTCATAACACTGTGAGGTCAGCCAATTTCTAGGCTGATGGTCTAGCGAAATAGGGAGCAGTAAATAATAAATGGTTGATGCAGTAAATATATACCAAGTGGAATTGATGGAAGAGAAATGGAAATTGAAAACAAATGATTGGAAGCAGGAAATACATATTACCTCAATTAAAGATAAAACATGAATTAATGACAAAATAAAAAGATAAGGGCACAAATGTTGTTGCCAAGAAGAAACAAAAGCAGAGGTAGCCTATCGTGGTCAAATAAACAATCATGTCTAATCCATTAATAGCTAGTTCTTGGAGAAAAAGGTAGACTAAACAATAACAACAGCCACCAAGTTCTATGAAACACAAAAGATCAAGGAATTCTTAATCAGTTATATGAAAGATTCAGTCATATGAATATACTGAGAAATGGTGCAGCAGACTTTGAAATATTAAGAGCTTCTATGCACAATAACATTAGCGACCATGAAACTGGTTGAGAAAACAATCCAGAAATGAGAATTTATATGTTAAAGATATCATAGATTAAGAAAAGATAAACAAACCACAACATCTATGCTTCAACACAAAACTACTTTCTACCAAAAATAAATAAATTCAAAATCATATGAACATATAATTAACTGGGTACCAGTGCTATGGATATATATATTATGACCTCTGGTAATAAGAACCCAAAAAACAAGGAAAAAGGAAAGAAAAAGCAGTTATTAACTAATTAAATCCTGGGTACCCTTGATCAGCATTAACCTGAACAAAAATATAATACACCAAAACAATATAACGACAAAATGAATGAAGTTAAGCCCCTCCACAAGAAGGAATAATCAGATGAAACTAAACAAGATATATAGAGTTGACAATCCAAACATAAACAATTCAAAAGAAGACAGTAATAATGATAAAGACAATTGAAAACCTTTCATCAAGTAAAGCAGGTAGTAACAAACTAACAGTGACGTGTGATTAATTCAACTTGATATTGATTTTAATTCTACTCATATAAATAAAATGATAACACACTTAAGCATCCAAAAACTTCATAGAAACAACCAGAGATAGATAACAACATAAGAACTCTATGACAGGGTATTCTATAAAAAACAGAATGCATCTTTTTAGAATTAGAGAACCTGAGAACTCAATTAGACAGGGAAGAAATGAAAGAGTGATGAGATAAGAAGTTGCTACATGACTCAAGAAAATAGAAGAAAACTTGCACTCTGATAGTGGATTTGTTGAATTGAGCTTGAGGCCTATTTATAGAGTTTTCTTAGGTCCTATACAGACAACATAACCCCCGGTTAGTGGTTATTGGACAGGTATGATCAAGTATTGAGTGCTCTTGTAACAATGTAAACACCATTCTAAACTAAGGGTAAAAGGATTCGAGTATTTTCCGATTCAGAAGAGATAGATAATATCGATTGAAGACTTGAAGAGTAACTGAACAAAAAATGGAAAGGGTGTTCTCCGATGATGAATTGATCAAGCCGAGTTTTGATTTAGCTATGGTCACCGTCATCGGTTGGTGTTGTCCGGTGAAAAACAGAGAGAAAATTAAAAATGGTGAGAGAGAGAGGGAGGGAAGGAGGAGGGATTTACCTACGTTTGGATGCCTTCCGGTGGTTGTGTGATGTTCGACTATGAGAGAGAGAGAGACAACTGAGAGAGGAGAGAGATAGAGAGGGTGATTGAGAGAGGTGAGAGATGGACAGGGTGAATAAGGTGATTGAGAGAGGAGAGAGATAGAGAGGGTGACTAAGAGAGAGACGACTGAGATAGGAGAGAGATAGAGGGTGGGAAGAAGATGAAATGCAAAGAGGAAGAGGCGCGGGGAGGAGAAAACCCTATCCTTTGTAGTGGCAGTCACTTTGTCTTTGGCAGCAGTTTTGATTGATTGTCGTTAAAGATCAATATTTCTAGCGGCAGTCGCCTTTTAGCCATTTCAAAAACTGCCGCTATAAATGTTATTTCTTGTAGTGTGTTCAAATGGGGTTTTGATAAAAAAAAGCATATGCTTTATTGGAATTCATGTTTGCATCCATTACAGCTAAAGGTCTGTTTGGTAAGAAGGTAAATTTGTCGGTGCAAAACTAACCCAATTTTGCAATTTATATGAACCGTTTTACACTCTACATATTTTCATCATTTCCAAACATAGCCTTTGGAACATTCGGCCAAGCTAAAAAGAACAAGAGAGTAACCTGTTCTCCTTAGTTTTGGTCGCATTCCTTCTTTTCACCCAATGATAACCCACTTCATAGGACAGAACATACTTTTTATTTTACTTTTTCTTTTCCTGAAAAGCCCCAAGGTTCATTTCATTTTAATAAATATCTCAGTTGCACAATGCAGGAATTTAGGGGATTGATTCCATTGTGCCTTATAAGACCAGGCACCAAAAAAGACTTTTGGACAATTGAAATTCTATATAATCACACAACGTGAAACTTCTAATCTTCTATTGCTCATCTGAAGATGAAGTCTCTACATTAAACTTTGTTCACAATATACAAAAATAAATAAGGGTGGTTAACCAAAAAGGTGGAGAAAACGGTGTCATTCATACATAGACATTTTCTGTTTTACAGCTTGATTAAGTAGTAGTCATCACAACCATCATAAGAACGACAGTGTGAGACTGAATTTTAGTATTTAGGATTTCTATTGAGAGGAAGCCCTACAACATGAGAATTCTGGAACCTGGTGGTGGAGAGGTTCAAGAACCAGCATATTTGAAAGAAAAAAAAATGCAACTCTCTAAGAGGTAAGCAGTCTCGAATGATTATTGATATCTCTCTGGTTCCTTTTGACTACATGCTCAGTTGTTTTGCACTGTCCTTTGTTTTATGCACAACAGCTATGACATGGATAAGTTTGTCCTACATTAGTTTATTATCTCCTCCAGATCTTTTTGTTTTTGTATGCAACCAATTGCTCAGCCAGGTATCTTCTGAAATATTCTTTAAATCACTCTCTGTTGCACAAGTGGACATGTTGTGTATATGAAGGCGAGCCGTTTCCAACAGTCTGATTGTTACTCTCTATAGGAGATGCTATGTGGAGAACCAGCACATACCCTTGAAGACCAGAGCAAACTGCAAACAGACTTCCATCGCTATCCATTGCTTTCCTTGTAACCATTTTGAATCTACATGAAGTTTGTTGAATGCTCTTGTACCAATTCATTCAGATTGGAAAAAGTAAATTAGTCTTTCTTTTTCATCAATGAAAATAAATAGACCACCAAAGCATATAATGTTGCCCCCAAAAGACCAGCAGTAAGCTATACATAACAGTAAGTTCACAACCATTCAATATGTACAACCAAAAGAAATATGTAACCTCAAACCTAATGCAAGCCATAAGATCCAAAACCATAGCTAAGATGGCAACAGCTTGATAATTCATATGATGAGTTTGAATCAGATGATTAAAATTATTCACTTGGATTCAAATGATGAACCAATTATTTATTCAAGTTCAAATGTTGAACTGCAACAAATAAGGAACTCAAGTGTAGCCACTTATGCTCCCATAAAAAAGGGAAAAATAAAGTTGTTCCTAGACAAGGTGGGTTGTATTTAGTTATTCTGCCCCAAAAAGTGTTCTTGTCGTTCTCTATATTCAAGTACAATTGTGTAATGTTTAAATTAATTACTGCAAAAAAACATTATGAAATGCATAAAAAATGATGATAAATGCACATACCTGTTAAAAATGGATGGCAGATAATGCTGAAGCAAATTGATAACTGTCCCTAATATGTAGACATTGAAATTCAAATTGAAGTTAGCAAAGTTTAACTTAAGCTGAAGTGAGTTAATTGATACTGTTGAACAATTATTTGACTGGAGCCTGAAAAAGAAAGGATATAATATTTTGATTAATTTCTTGCTGTTTACAAGTGCTAAAGCTGCTGAACTACCAATAATGATGAAACTTACTTCAACAAACAAATAATTAATCTCCAAGATGAACTTTTCTATGTTTTACTCTGTAATTTGAGAAAGATATATGGACTTTCTAACAATCTCTAAGCTTAAAAAAACCACAAATTCCTCTTAAATAAGGTGGCAATATAGCATTTTATGGTAGCAGAGCATAGTGGCATAATACTTGCACATGAATTATAGCATATAATGTATGTAAAAATGGGAAAGACTTGTATTAGTTGCCTGATGATGTCATTCATGTACAAAACTTATTAAACAGTATAAATCAATGAAGTTGGCTTCTTTTTCTCCTTTTTAAAAAAAAAAAAAACAAATTAAGCGTATAGTAGCAGAATGTGCAGGGCAAAAGCTAGGGCCTAAGAACAAATTAAGGATCCATAACTGGTCTCCGGTTCTAAACCATCAGGCCCACATTATCCAGACTTTAGGCCCTAGCTTTTGCCCTGCACATTCTGCTACTATATGCTTAATTTGCTTTTTTTTTTTAAAAAAAAAAGGAGAAAAAGAAGCCAACTTCATTGAGACTAAACTTAAGGATCCATAACTGGTCTCCGGTTCTAAATCATCAGGCCCACATTATCCAGACTAGCATTCAATCAGGCTATTCTATTTACCAACAATCAGGTTATTCTATCCAGACTAAACTTAATGCAGGCTATCCTATCCAGACTAGAATTCAATCAGACTATTCTATCCGGTTCTAAACCATCAGGCCCGCATTAACTTGATCAATCAAAGAAGAATCCAAAAGTTTGAAGATTAATTGAACCAACAATCAGGCTATTCTGTTTACCTAAAATTGGTGCTTTTAAAGCAAACATTTGGATTTGGATGATAGTCAAATGCTACATTTATATTCTTTAAAAGCTCTGAAAAGCTAACAAAAAAAGAAAAAAAACAAAAGAAACTTTTTTTTTTTTTCGATGAATGAAGCAGATTGTTTTAAGACATTTGATTTTAGTGATTTTTGTGGTAAGTTCTCTTTTAGGTGGGATTCATCCATTGATGGTCCCTGGTCTTCTGAACATCTACAGTGTGGTAAGTTTTGAGTGTCCCATATTGCAGCTAGAGATTCTTGTTTCACTTAGCTTTACCCAAGCCAATCCCATCATAGTTTACTATTTTGTTGTTTACACAACACCACAAACACCTTGCAAGCAAATGATAAATGATGTACCTCGGACCATGCTTATTCAATGCATCTCTTTCTACTTCTCCGAAATATATAGACTGTGCCGTGACATGTCATATTCTGATTGAGTGGGTTTATAGTCATTTGATTCCCTTGAAATGGATTTCCAATCTTATTAAACACTGCTAGTCAATGAAATGATCACGATCAAGCCTGATTGAAATCCTCCACCAACCATCACTATTTCTTCCACCATATTTTCTTGTCATCTTGTACTAAATAAAGAAAAAAAAAACATAGAATGAAAAGAAAAAGAAAATCACAAAGTGATTAACATGTTAAAGAAAATGATATAAATGAATAGAGAAATAATAATCATACAAATTTGTTTCTTCTAAGCCCTTATCAATCGGTCTGGTATTTCCAAGATGTGTACAAACACCAAACATCGAATCAAATTTGTTTTGAAATCAGAACGATGCTATTATATGATAAATAGTGTGTGGCATTTTTGTCACTTCAGTTATTTATAAATAATTTCGAGTGAACATGTGAGATTTAATAATTGATTATTATAATTCTTCATCTTTCAGAAATGTTTCAGCCTTATATAAATCTAACCATTGGCACAAAATAAAAGGGAAGCAGAAGGTAAAATGCCTTACCTTTAAGCTCTTAGCTCTTATTGGATTCTTCTTCTATTGATTTCAATATGAGGGATGTGGCATATCTTGTTCCAGTCCGCTCCTTGCTTTATGCAACGTTCTTTTAGTAGAGGACGATAAGAAATCTCCAATCTTTTTAATGTGGTGAGATGTTGCAACTCATCAGGGATAGAATCAATGAACTCGCATGTATTCAAATGCAGTTTTCTGAGTGCCGTAAAATTTCCTAAACCATTGGGCGGTGATTTGAAGGGTGAGAATTGTATCAGCAAACTCTCGATCTTGTTATTTAAAGGTAATGACTTTGAAAAAACACCTGCATCGTAGATTAAGTTCAAGCTGTGAAGGTTTCGTAGAAAGCATAAAGAAGATGGTGTCCAAGTCAGCTGAGGACAATCCGATATAGTCAATGCTTCCAGTGCTACGGTAGGAAAGATGCGATGAGGTAACACTTTTAACTTGGGGCAATTTTCAAGCGACAAGCAAAGGAGACGTGGCATCAAAATGATGGAAGTGGTTTCTCTACCATCTATTTCTTTTGTGCCCAGATCCCACTCTTCCAAGTTTTCCATGTTCTCTATTTCAAGAAATCTTAACTCAGGGAACAATTTCTTAGCCTCATCCTCACTCTGAACAGCATCAGCGCTATCCATTCCAAAAAAGCTATGGTCCATGTATTTTATCTCCTCCATTCCACTTATGCTCAAGAATCGAAGAAATGGTAGCTTCCCAACTGCAGGAGGTAACTTGTTTAGATTTTTACATCTACATAATTCCAAATGGTGGAGATAAGGTAATCCATCATCTCTCACCATCCAACTTGCTAACTCGGTGCCCAGGTAACCCTCTATTTTCAATTTCTTCAGGCCTAGATGTGGCTGGAGACCCTCCATTACCTTCTCCATCTTTTCCTCTACCGAGTCTTCTTGTCCATCATCACTACCATCAAAACATAAGCCTAGGCTGTGGATGTTTTCTTTATTCTTCAAGTCTACATCATCAGCCTCGTTTTCACTTTTCAATCTTCCTAACCCTCTTATTTCCAGTTCTCCTTGAAGGAACTTCAACTCTTGTAACTCCTTAATTGTACACCCCCCTTCGCCAATGGCACCATCGCCACCTATGATGAATTTCGATAATGTGCATAGGGAACTTAATCTACCAATGCCTTGTGGTAAGTATTGCAATTTATGAGTGCCCTTAATGTCAAGATGTCTCATTTTAGTCAATTTCCCAATTCCTTCAGGAAGCTTACAAAGTTCTGAACAATACCTAAGATTCAAAACCTGCAAATTATGCAGATTACTCAGTGTTCCGGGCAATTCTTTCAATTTTGTACCGGATAAATTAAGGAATCTTAGATGTATCAACATCTCTATCTTGCTTGGTACCTCTTCAAGATGAGTTCGTTTCAAATTTAATGCCCTTAGACATGTTAACTTTTGGAATATGCCAGAGAATCCACATGCTCCTGGAGGTAGTCGTAGAGTTTTTAGTTTCTTTGCCTCATAAATGAAATTAGGAATGGTCTTCTCACTCAGACCATCATCATAATCATTTCGTGTTAAAGTTAAGTGGCGGGCATTGTTATATTTTGAGTCTTGCATGATTTCGTTGCTAATATCGAATGCATAGCATTCCTTTTCTGTGAGAAGCTGAGCAAAGTCATGCACCAAATCATGGATCTTGCACAAAACTACCTTTTTATATCTAAAAGCAATAACCTGAAAAAATGACCTCATAACCAAAATATCAAAATACTCTTCACCTACCATTTCCATCATTCTTTCTGATGAACTGTTATTAACAAGAAAACCTTGTGCCATCCACAACTTGACCAAATCATCTTTGTATATCGACTCATCTTTGCGAAAGATGGCACAATATGCAAAGCACTGTTTCAGATGTGATGGCAAATCATTATAACTCAACAATATACCTGGTAAGATATTTTCTTGAACATCTTCCCATATGTGGCTCTCCAACACATCTTGCCAATGTTGTTTTGTTGGTCTCTTGAATCGCAGAAGACCTCCAATGGACTTTGCAGAGAGAGGCAAGCCTTTACACTTCTTGGCAATTTCCATGCCGATTCCTTCCAACATTTGACGCTCTTCTGTGGTCCTCTCTGCAAATGCTATGCCCCTCATCAATGACCAACAATCCTCATCAGACAATAGCTCTAAATTATGGAGGTACGCCGTGCCCAACATTGTTGCAACCCTCCTATTGCGTGTTGTGACTAGAATTCTACTTCCTTGTGCACCACCATTGAGGGAAAGCTTCAATGGTTCCCAATCGAATACATTCTCAGTCCACATGTCATCTAGAACAAGTAGATAGTGCCTATTCTCAAGGGATTTGCTTAACAAGTTATGCAAAGAATCCCATGGAATGTCATTTTTATTAATGGTTCCATCATCAATTGCCTTAACAATTTCCTTAGCAATCCTTACCTTATCAAAAGGCTCAGATACACATACCCAGATTTTCTTCTCAAAATGGGCTATTACCTTGTCATCATTGAAAACTAGCTGGGCAAGAGTCGTTTTGCCTAGGCCTCCCATACCACTTATGGAGATGATGGGGACTGAAAAGGTCGTGTCCTGCCGACTATCCTCAGAAAGCAGTTTGCTCACTATAAGTTCTTTCTCTGAATTCCGACCTACTGTGACGGATACATCAATCAAAGAGCTAGTTTGTCTAATTTCTGGTCTATTGATTGGTTCCTCCCATGTATTATTATTATTGACATTTCTACTGCTTTTGAAGTTAAACTTGTCCTTTACGCTTGTAATCTCATCTAGTCTTTTGTTGATCTTCTTTATTTTAAGACCGATGTCACGGTGCAAACCTACTTGCTTGAACCAAAAGCAGCAAGACAACAAGTTATTAGTGGGGCGTACCTCTTTCAACATGAAAATTTTGGTGCTCCACTCATCCAACACATCGTCCGTGTCATAGGCTATATCCTTGAGATTTTCCAGCCAAACCTTTACCAGATTATCTTTCACTTGCTTCTCCTCTGCATCCTTAAGCACAGCTTGAATACTCCTCAGTGTGCTAGAAAGCTTTTCAACATCTTCTCTGACACCAGTAACCAGCCGTATCTCTTTCTGAATGTCTTGTTGTATGATGGAAACCAATTTCCCTAAGAAAACAGAAACAAGTCCATCAGCCATGGTTGGTGATTGAGGAATGAAGCTTACCGGAATGAGGTAGAGACGAAAAGGAATGGAACTAGGATTTGTAATCCGTATCCTTTGAAACTTGAATTCACTCAATTATAGAGAGAAAGAGAGATTTCAGAATGCAACCCGGAGTCTACTTTTGATTGTACTAGTTATGGAGTCAACGTTGGTGGTTAGACATAGGACAATACGCTATGTAGTGCTTAGGAGGGAATCCATTTACTTAAATCTATCTTATAGTTATTTTTTTACTAAAATATCTTCTATAATTTACAACCTATTTATTTAATTGACCTTTAATTAAGAAGTATTTATTTTACCATCTAAAAATAATAATATAATCACCTAAACTGAATAAAAAATGTTCAGGGGCAAGGGTCCATGATTGTTTATTTCAAAATTACTATTAATACTTTTTCATACAAAAAACAAAATTTACAAAATAGAGTTAAATAAGTGATTACTCGTGTTTTATTAAAGACAAAAATGATATTTTTATTTTTATTATCTTTTTGATTATATTTATTCAAATAAACATTAGGTTCAAAGCTTTTATTTTCCACTATTAAATAATAAAAGGTCAATTGTAAATTATAAGTGTTTTAATAAAATACAAATTATAAGGTAGGTTTTATCCCAAAAACAAACTCTGGGTAGGATGACTGGCTGAAACCCAGGATAAGCAATGCCGAATTGTGACCCGCGCGAGAATTGAATCTGAGACAGCTTTGGACAATGTTTTAAAACCAGTCCTACAGGCCGAACCTTGTTTTGCTCTGGCTGGATGGTTCACTCATCCAACCATTTGGGTAGATAGGTAGTGATGACATGTATAATGAAAATTAAAATAATAAAATAATACAAAACCCATTAACCCGATAAATAGGTTAAATTGATGTTAGAATCTAATCCCAACTAAGACTCCCAAAAACCGATCCTAACTGCCATTACAACCGTGCATCAGAAACATCTTCCTTGTTCTTTACGGTGAGATCAGATGTTCCCAATTACAACTGTCATGGCTGTTGAAACCCTGTATTAGATTCATATCTGGACACGTCAAATTAGTTCATAGGAGTGTTTTTTTCTGGATTTTGAGGGCGGGAAAGTTGATCAGTGGGATTTTGATTCTTATTGACTATAAAACCCTTGTTCTTTTTTACAGATTTAAGTAGGGCCAGGTAAGTGATACCCATCTCATAGATGGATAAATAACTTTTTCATCTCGAGGGGAAGGTTGCTAACACTTAAATGGGATAAAAATACCTTTTTAATAACAAGATTTTATGACTAAAATGGTCATTGTCTTATTTACATGGAAGAAAAGAACGTGAGAAACACTTACCTGGCCAAGTACATTTATCCAGATAAATAACTTACCAAAAAACAAACGGGGCCTATATTTAACCATCCAGAACACCGGGTCATTGACCAAGTAAATGTTTTATTTTGTTCTTTTTCTATTTTTATCAATCAACCCGTGAATTGGTGCTAAATCCACAGGCAGGATGCGATTTATAAGAGGGCCACTAATAGACTAGGAGGTAACTGTAATTTCAGATTTCGAAAGGAGAATACAGTCTACTTATCCCTAACATTCAATGTGAAACCGTACAGACAAAGGTGACATATCTACTTTTCAACATTTAGGTGTGAAATGGGCGGCCCATAGGCCATACTGCCCTCCCCAGGATAATTTGGGGATTAGCCTGGCATGACCCACCCATGGCTCAAGCCCGTGTAGGTTCATGCTGTGCTGCGGGCCTGAGCCGAACAAACTGCAAGCTATACCGTGAGCCTTGGCAGTGCCGGGCTGGGCCTTGGGCGTGGGCCGAACCGATTTACACAATTATACCTCTGCATTTATTGGATCATATATGCATTTCTCTATTCTAATCCATTACAGCTCAGCCTGGTCATATATGCATTTCTCTACATTTATTGGTCCTATTCCTATCCCTCCAAGGTGGCTTTTGTTAATAAAACCGATAGCTTAATTCGGTCGTTCAATCATAGTATGTCACATCAACTAATTGTTTAGCATATTAAACGGATTAAAGATGCCTTCCAGATCATGTAATTTTTTTAATATCAAAATATTAAAAACAAAATTATAAATTTGTAGTATCGTTTCTATTTTTTTCTAACCTGAAACCCCCTTCTCTCTCCTCTGATACCCTCACTACCATTCCTCTCCCTCTAACGATAAATTTGGATGTTCTTTCACCTGTTTGCGTATAGAGAGAGAAAGGGAGAATGCTTTTGTTGTCTTTTCTTTCTTTACATTATTAAGCCCTTTTTGGATCTCATTGTTTATTGAAGGACTTAAAATCCAGAGAGAAGTAAGAAAATAAACAAGGAACACATGAACCTGAAGCCGGTGTCTGTACTTGAAAATGTTGATGCCAATTTCAACGATTTGGCTCACTTTGGCAAATTTATGCAGATGCACCCCATACATTTCTATCATTCTATGTCGCCTTTTTCTTTAGAATATTCACTTCTTTTTTCTCATTCTTCTGGTTCTTTTGGAAAATTCTTCTCCTTGAAATTATAGGATTTGAGGGACTTGCATGGTCAACTTCAGTGAGCTACTGGTTACTCGTTAATACAAAAAGACATTCTTGAAGTCAAAGAGAAAAACAGATAAGTCATCCCTTCAGCGTTCGGGCCAAACTGATCAAGCACTAATTAGGCTCGAATGAGAATCAGACCAGATTTCAGCTGGTGAATTTCTAGTTTCAAGGCTTGCCCTATACTAATCAAATGGCGGATGTTTGACTAAAAGAACAAATTGCTGAGTTTCATGAAGCCTTTGAGTTACAAAGCTCAATATGCCCAAGACCAAGCCTAGCCCAAACAGGAATGGCAATAGAGTGGGTTCGGGGAGGGTTTTGTAAATTCTAGACTTTATCTGCCTAGCGGGTTGGATTTTGAGACTCTCCTCACACATAAAAACGCAAAACCCTCCCCGTATTTAAGATTAGGGGTGGGTTGGATTTAAAACCCACATCTAATTTCTTATTATTTCTTGTTATATAAAAACAATAAATAAGTAAAATAACATAAATAAACAACAAAATTTTCAATTATTTGATTAAGATGTAAAAGAACACATAAACCATCAATATCCTTTACATCTAATTTAAAATATTATTAAATTCAACACCTAATACATACCAAAATAATGTATTAGTACATTAATAATTGCAATTATTATTCTATTTTTTAGTATTTATTAAAATCTTTTTTTGAAAGTTATTATTTGTTTTTGTTGTTTGAAAGCTTTGAATACCTCTAAAATATTTAATATATTTTTCATTATTTCAATAATATTTAAAAAATTTTAAATTAATTATATTTTATATTTTTATTATCAAATATTATTAAATCTAATATAATTATTTTTGTGTTTTTGATAAAATTTTTAAGGTTATTACATAATTTCTTTATTTTATATATTTTATTTGTTTTTAAATAATATTTAAAATATGATTTAGTTTTTAATTTTTAATATTTAAAATATTTAAAAATATTTACTTACAATATTATTCATCTATTTAAGTAATATCACTATTTAGTTATTTCAATATTACTTATTTATTGAATTTCATAATCCATAAAATTATAAGTTATACTATTATTACACAACTTTGTTACTAATTTTGTAAAATATAGAATTATTATTATTTCAAATATTATGAAATCTATTATAATGATTTTGTAGTTTTAATAATATTTTTTAAGTTTATTACATAATTTTGTTATTTAAAATCTTTCATTATTTAAATTTTATTTATTTTAAAGTTATTACATAACATTAAATGAATTTCTATATAAAATTTTTAATATTTTGTTATTTATAATATTTAGTTATTCAAAATTTTAAGTAATATTTTTAAATTTTAAGTTTTATTATTTGAATAATATTTAAATTGAATAATTTGTGAAATTATAATTTATATTGTTGGTACACAATTTTGTTATGAATTTCATAAAAGTATAAAATTATTAATAATATGAGATATCTAATTTAAATTTTGACAAAGAGAAATTTTAGAAATAGTTTTAGGAGGAAATATCTAAAGTGATAAACATAAAGGAAAGAGGGGTGGCCAGGCATGGTTAGGTGTCATTATGAGAGAGGGAGAAGGGAGTAATGAGTTGGCTTCATGATGGAGCAGGGAAGGCTAAAATGAGAGGGGTTGAGAGTTTTTAGTTGGGGTAATGGAGAAAGCTCAGGCCATGACATAGCATGTTTCTACTTTAGTTAGTGTGTGTGTGTGTGTCTATATATATATATATATATATAGATAGATAGATAGATATAAATGAAAATTTTGTTTTCTGCTTTTTTCTTTTTGATTTCTAAATGTTATTTAAAGCAACATGGAAGTTATAAATGGAGGGCTGAAATTGCCCCCCTTCTGAATTGAATTTTAATAGCACAACAATTACCCAATGTTGGTTCCAACTATTCAATATACTTGAAGTGTTTGAACTGAGTAGGACAGCAGAGGGATTGCTGGACTAGATTGAATTTGAATCTGATTTATAAGAACTCGAGAGACCCAAATTCAATCTGATATTTGATGATATGTAAAACATAGATTTGAATCAGATTCTATTGCTGTAGGCTAGTTGGTAAGGTCTCCCTCCTCTGGCTTGTAGTGTAGACTTGGGTTCAAATTCCCTTGCACCAGGGTTGGGGGGACGGGGGAGGGATCGTGAATTTGGAAGATGGGCTACCCCTGTTGCCTCACCCTTCTTTCAGGAGGAATAAATGATACCAGAGGAGTTTTAACCAATTAAAGCATCACTGTGATTGATGAATACCACCTAATTAGTCATCTCTTTTAAGATACTGGTCGATTGGCTGTAAAATTTTCTAGTATCATGTCTTTATGTTGTCATAGTCAAACCCTTTAATTGAAGTATTTAGAAGTAAAAATTTCCTACTCCACCCACACCATTATCGGGCTCATCAATGACCAATAACCCTGGCCACACAATATAATATATATAACTGTAGAGCTAACTTGTGCCCAACATTGTTGCAATTGTTCTTTTGTGTTCTGTGACCAGAATTCTGCTTCATTGTGCACCACCATTTGGAGAAAGCTTTAAAACATAAAATAATTCTGAATAGAAGTGGGCTTCTACTTTCTGAATAGAAGTCAAAAATTTATCGAACTTTTAAAAAACTATTAGAAATTCTGAACTCAGCTGCTAAATTTGTTACCAGAAAAACTGAGCTAATTCTGAAGTACATAGTCTTATGATATTGAACTTTCAACCCAAAGCATCTTACTCTTCAAAAAAAAAAAAAAAAAAAAGAAAAACTAGTTCTTATCAAACAAAACATAGTATCTGTTTGGCTTCATAGGTAACACCCATAAAATTACTTTCCACCTCATTCACATAAATTAAAGTGTTTCTGTTTTTTAGTGTTTATTTGGTAAACGTTGAAGCCAGAGGTTTCATGGACAATAAACATCACCTATGGTGCTGATGTGGTGGTGATTTTCTAATAAATGCCCATGAAACCAAACATAGCTATAATTAGTTGAAGAGAGAAAAAAAATCATGATCTTAGGTCTAGAGCAAGAGAAAAAAGAAAAGCCTAAAAAGGGAAGTAGAAGATGAAGACGAAACCAAAATGAAGGTATGGATGTGAAGTGCAACAACTTTTTAGGAAAAATAAGTGTCAGAAGCCCTTCTATTAGACCTTAATGGAGTACCATGATCAAGATTGAGCACAGATTTGCACAACACAAAAGAGCATAATCCTGATTACAAGTTCTGAACTTCACGAGTTTCAACTTTCAACTCCATATTGTAAATTAAGAGAAATAATCAGGGTCTGTGAACTCTCTATAGAAGGTCATATTATAAGAAGTCCAAGTTTTAAACCATAAATTCATGTATATTATCTTTGTAAATAAGTAACTCCACATGCAATCTCACAAGAAAAATAGAGACAATAATGTTTCCTATAGATTGAAGCTTTTATCCTTTTTTTAATAGCTTGAGCTTTTTATTCAATGGAGAGAAGGGGGAATTTCTATTGTTAATTATAATGGTACTTGGTCCATTCATAATGAATTTATATTGGATTGGGTTTGATTAAATCAGTATTCAGTCAATTGATAGTAGATAAAAATACAGGTATCAATGAACCAGATTAACAGTCAATATCCGCGTTCCTCCATTTGACACTCTCACCCATGACTGCCCAGTGCCCACAAATTGATTGGACGACATTTTCTATGTGTTGAATTTTAAATCAAAAAAGAAAAAAGATGGCAGGTTTACAGGCAACTACGTCCATTGAAGACAGATTATGCTTTGGAAATTTGCTTTCCCTGTTTGTTGTCACAATAATGATTTCCCCACCAATAAGGAGCCTCCCAAAATATCCCATTAGATTTCAACACTTCATTTTTGTTCCTGCATAAAAAAGCCCGAGTCAGTTTTAGTGAATAAAAAATTGTGTTGTTCATGATAATAATAATAATAAAAAGAAGAGAATACCACTATGCTAGCTTTAATAGTATCTAGATACAACATGACTCTAGTAAGTTAAGACCCAAGATTTCAACTTTATACTTTTGCTTGCTTTTAGTTCTTCACTTGTTTTTTTTTTTACACATTTCAACATCCTGAGTCATATTTTTACTTTCCCCCCCCAAACCTCCAGGGAGAAGGCAGCAAACAACACTACAAAATGACCATTACACCCGACTGTGGATATTCACGGACTCACGGCTAAGTTATGGGTCCAGGGAAGAATAGAAATGCTACAACATGCATTGTGAAACTCAGTAATACTACAAAATGCCCTTCTTATTGCTTCTCAAAATTCTTGGTTGAATCTCTTACCTGCTTTTCACCTCAGCTTTTTGAGTAATGAAACTCAGTAATACTAAATAGGATACGACTAGGTTTTGGTGGTTAGTTTTATGGATTTAGGGTTATAATACCATTTTAATTTGCGGAAGTATTAATTTCTGTAAATTGAAGAGTAGGAGATTGAATCATCTTGTAATTTCAGAGACCAATATTCAAATACACAAGGTCAGAACTATGTCTAACTCGGCCTACACCTGCCCAAGCCTCCAAGGTAGATTATGCCATAAATGGAAGGGGAGAAACTGTTAAATTGGTCAAAGGTAGTAACAGAAGTTGTTCTTATAAGGGATAAAGTGCATTAGAAAAACCTTTATCTCCTTTTTCTTTCTGCAGATTTTTCATCAACATGAAATGAATGATACGTTGGGCATCCAAACCAAAACAGATTCAAGAAGCCTGAACCAAAACAGAGGAAAACAGAGATGGACATAAAGGAAGGACAAAAGAACAGACCTAGGAATAGTATGAGTTGATGGCGGCTACGCAAGCTGCTGAAGATGAGTCACCACCAGAGCATCTGAAAACAGAATCACCTTCACATGAGCAAGTTCTTAAGATGAAAAACAGAGGAATCTTATATGTAATGTGTGAAGGTATAAGTTGAGCTAATCTTAAACTACTAAAAATAAAACAAACACAGCCAAAGGGTTTCCACTTGCAAAAAGAATAAAAATAGATCTGTCATTGTCCTTGTTCTCCATTTTCTTTGGATTAGGAAGAAGGGCAATTTTCAGGATTGCAGTCAAAATATGGAGCAAGCGACAACGTCGAACAACCATAGCTTGGGGAATGCTCTCAATTTTTAGTCCAATGACCACAAATACCAGTACCGATGGCAGTAATTTTCTCTAGTCCATTTGCAGTAGTTAGTTTTGCTTTTCAATTCAATCAATAGAAAAAGAAAAAAACACCAGAAAGGCATATAATGACCATTGCCAGTAGGCCAGCACGCAGTAAGCTTTTCATTACAGTAGGTTCAACAACTCAGTATGTACAACCAAAGAAACATGCCTAAAGCAAGCAAGCCATAAGATCCAAAACCACAGTACAATGTGAGAATTCCTAAAATGACTTCATGAATCAGGTTTAAAATTGTTCAGTATTCGGGATGAAATGGTGAACTAATTATCTATTATTTAGGTTCAAATAATGAACTACAACAATTGGAACTCAAGGGGAGATATTTATCCCCCCACCCCCACAAAAAAGGAAAAAATAAAGAAAAAAAAAATCAGGGGGGTGGAGAGTCAGAATAAATTGTTCCTAGATGAGGTGGATGTTGTTATTATGTCCCATAAATGTAAACTCTTTGAATACTCTGAAAATTCTGAACCAAAAGAGAAAAGGCAAGATCTCTTTGAGGAATGAAGCAAATTGTGTGAAGACAACTGATTATGGTGTTTTCTGTGCAAGTCCTCTAGGGACATGGTCTTGTGAAAATCTGCCATGTGGTAAGTTTTGAGGATAACAGACTGCAAATAACAATCATGTGTCACTTAATCCAAGCCAAGCAAATGATAAATTACATACCTCAAACCATGCTTTTCAGTACTTGGAGGAAGCAACAATTTAATAAACCAACTCAGAGATTTGGCAAGTTTGGGTCCATGAATCTAAATCTTCTTTAAATTTGCATTTCTATCTAATCCTCTGTGTGCCGTAAATGGGCTGTGGAGTGACATGTCGTAGTCTGATTGAGTCGGTTGATAGTCCTCCAAACGTGGGGTTTCCATTCTTATTATCCATCACTAATCAATGAGATCACATCCAACCTTCGATTCAAAGCTTAATAAGCACCTCAAAAAAATGCACCTATACAAGAAATACCAAATATAAAAATTTGTTTCCTTCTAGCCCTTATAAAAAGCACTGTATACCACAAAAATGGAACATTGCATCATTTCAATGAGGTCTAGCGTCTGCAGGTGCAAGTCAGATGGCATTCTATTTATAATCTTTTATATGGCCCGAAGGCTAATTTATTGCAAGGAATTCTCTATTAGTACATGTAATAAAAAATATGGTGTAGGAGACCAAGTGTAATTGTGTAAATGTTACAAACACATGGCATTCTATTTTTTTGAAGAATAATATCCAAGAAGTGAGTACTCTTCACTCTCAAAAAAAAAAAGACTATTTTCCTCATACATGTGTTTATCTATTTTCAGAAAAAAAGTGCTAATTTTAATTAAACACATAATTACTAATAGAAAAATCCACTCAAAACTAACCTTTAACACATCATCTAGTAATAATAGATCAATGGTATAAGATGGATTTGGAAGGGTTAAAAGAAAAATGTTTTTATATAGTTGTTCAAATAAAAATAGCCCAAAGAAGTTTGTGTATGGATGACTTTGCCAAATAATTTTATTGGAAGGAAACTACTAATGAAGTAATTAACTGTTACTTCTGTGTAAAGTTGAGCATTTGGTACTTCTGGTAAAATTTGGATTAGCTGAACTCTTTAGCTGTTCAGTAGGCTGTGGAACCAATAATAATGTTCCATGCCAGTGATAAAATACATGAGACCCACATTGAGAGGTTGAATGGTTATGGGTCCCATATATTTTATGACTGGTGTAGAACATTTTTATTGGTTCCACAGCCTTCTGAACAGTTAAAGCGCTCAACTCATCCTATCATAGATAGATTGTTGTCTCAAAAATCACATTTATAGGTATTTATGAACCCTTGAAATCTAGGTCAATTGCCACAACTATGACAAAAGTCATTTGAATGGGGATGAAATTAGTTGGGTATGGGTCAAATAACCCAAGTTCAAACTTTGTTTGGATCCCACTTGTATCAAATTAATCTGTATGGTATTTCCAAGATGCTTACAGACCCCCAATGTCAAATCAAATCCAGTAAAGATCAAATTTATATTTAAAATCAAGATTGAATTCATTTAGGGCCTGTTTTAATTTTAATTTGGGAACACAATCAATAAGATGTCTCCACAAAGTTATCTCTTTTTCGTTTATTATGGCAATTATTTTGAAATCAACCAAGGATATATTTAGGGGAATTCTACAATATGAAAGTTTTTGTTTTCATTTGTTTTTGGAATCCCCACATCAGCAAAAAGACAAAAACATGTTCTTGAACTCTGTTTTTTTAAGGGAAAAAACAAATTGGTTTTGATTCAAGAAACAATATATGTTTCTGGAACCAACAAAAATATTGGTTTTTAAACAAAAACAAATTTTCTGGTATAGAAATTATGTGATTAAATCAGTTGAAAACATGTTTTTGAAACCAGTTTCAAGAGCATGTTTTTTGTTTCAGTTTTGAAAACAAAAGGCACATGCACAACCAATTGTTTTTTGTATTTTAGTTTTAAGAAACAATCTGTTTTCAAATGAAATGGTTTTGAGTTTTTTTTGGAACTGCAACAAGAAATTAAAAACAATTCACTGTATACAACACCCCCTTAGTAGTTTGACATTTGGTAACTTTTAGTCGTTGTTTACAAATAATATAATGTATGAAGTTCTGGTGATTTTCCTTAACTAAAAAAAAAAAAAACTAGGGAAGAGAGATAACTTGTTAAATGTTTAGAATAATTGAAATTCAGTATTTGGTTATTATATATAATTCCTTTTCTTTTTGAAATGTTTGAGAAAACCTATGATGCCAAAAAGTGTACATGATACCGCAAAGAGCTTTGGTCAATCAAAATCCACCCATGTACTTTCATAAATACCACCTGATTTGTTAATACGTTTATGAGAAATCTATTTGTTGACTTTGACTGGAAAATAAAGGAAAGGGAATTCCATGAGGTAAAATGCCTTTACCTTTAGTCATAATTGATGCTGCTTTGCTGCTGAATCTGTCATTGGATTCTTCTTCCATTGATTTCAATGTGGGGGATGTGGCATATATTCTTCCAGTCCTCTCCTACTTCCTTTCTGCCACGTTCTTCCAGTAGAGGGCATTTATAGATATACAATTTTTGTAGCGAGGAGAGATGCTGCAACTCGTCAGGTATAGAATCAATGTACTCGCAACGAATGATAGACAACTCTTCGAGTGTGTGAAACTTCCCAAAAACATTGTGAAGTGACTTGATAGGTGAGAACCGTATTGTTAAATCATCGATCTTATTATCTGATGGTATTGACCTTAAAAATGCTTCTGCATTCCCAATTAAGTCCAAACGGTGAAGGTGTTGTAGAAGTCCAGATGAGGATGGTGTCCAAGTCAACTGAGGACAATCTCTTATATGCAGTGCTGCTTTTTTATAGAAAATGAGAGGGGGCAGCACTTTTAACTTAGGGCAATCAGAAAGATTCAAATCACAAAGATGTTGCATGAAAGTAATGGAATTCGTTTCTCTACCATCAAATTCTCCCATACCAAGATCCCAATCTTCCAAATTTTTCATTCCACCGATTTGAAGGCTGCCTAAATTTGGGAATGCTTTCTTAGCCCCATCACCGGTTTGAGCAACATCAGCCCAATCGACTCCGAAAAACATATGGATGTCCATGTGTTTTATTTTATCCATACCACCTATCCATAGACGTCTAAGAAATGGTAGATTTCCCAGAGAAGGGGGCAACTTGCACAAATTTTTACATGCATATAAGCGCAGAAACCGGAGATTAGGCAACCCATCATCTCTCACCATCCAACTTGCTAACTTGTTCCCCATGTAACCATATATTGTCAACTCCTTCAAGTTTTTGTGTGGTTGGAGACCCTCAAGTACGSTYTCCATCTTCCTCTCTTTCAAGTTGTCATCTTCAYCATCATGGCCATCAAAGCGTAATWCCAGGTTGCTCATGTTTTCTCTGTTCTTTAAGTCTGCAACATTAGCCTCATTTTCACTTTTTACTCTTCCCAATCCACTTATTTCTAGTTCCCCTTGAAGGAACTTGAGGTCATTTAGTTCCTTAATTGTACATYCCCCTCCACCCCCACCTATRATGAATTTAGATAATGTGCACAGGGAACTTAATCTACCAATGCTTCTTGGTAAGTAGTGCAAAYTTTYAGTACCCTYAATTTCAAGGTGTCTCATTTTAGTCAATTTTCCAATTCCTTTGGGAATTTTGCAAAGCTTTGAACAATWATTAAGCTCCAAAATCTGCAAATTATGTAGATTACTCAATGTTTCWGGCAAWTCTTTCAGTTCSGTATCWGATAAATTAAGGTATCTTAGATGTATCAACWTCTCTATCTTGCTTGGTAATTCYTKAAGACAAGTGCCTCCCARAKCTAATGCCCTTAGACATGTTAATTTATCGATTAAACCGGAGAATCCACAWACTTTTTGAGGGAGTTGTAGAGTTCTTAGCTTCATTGCCTTGTAAATGGACAAGGGGATGGTCTTCTCCYTCAGATCATTACCATCATCATCATCATTTCCTATWWAAGTTATGTGGCGGGCATCTTTGTACCTCRGCTCTTGCGTGATGTTGTTGCCAATGTCTAATACATAGCATTCCCTTTCCGTGAGAAGTTGAGCAAAATCGTGTACCAAATCATGCATCTTGCACCAATATGTCTTTTCACSAACTGTATGAAATTCTTGGAAAAATGATCGCACAGACAAAATATCAAAGTAATCTTCACCTCTCCTTTCCAATGTTCTTTGTGATGAACTG